CCCAAACTCTTTGAACCTGCCACACCAGACTCCAGGCTACTATCTCCATGCAACGTGGCAGTAAAAGCTGACTATGTCATGCTGATTCCAACTTGCATGCAATTTAACATGAAAAGTGAATTAAGTGCTGCTCATGAATGCAGAATATGAGGCTATCGTTGTTGAGATCCTTCTGAGACCAGTAGTTTTCTGGGCGTCTTTGACCTGAGTATTTTCCAGCTCACTGATCAGGGACAAGCATGCAAATGTTGCTTGCGTGCTTTGAGAATAGTGCAATAAGTGAACTATGTGCAGCGCTCCAATTAATAACAAATACAAAACATTTAAAGCACTTCACTAATTCAAACTTAAAAACACCTCAATAATTATGACCAAAACAGTAAAGCTAAATCTGTGTCAAATTGTACATCAAATCAAATAACCATTACATAAATAAGACAAGTGCCTGTTACCCACATAAAGTGCTCAAATTTGAAACAATCTGTATCAGCTATGCAATAAACAGAGTCCCACACTACTGAATAGTGTCCTGTGCAGTTAAACGCAGTCTTTATCAGCAAACAAATAATTCCCAAATCATAAGTGATATCCATTGCAGGTAATATCCTGAAAACTCCTCCCCCTCAGTACTCTTCAGGTGTACCCGCACCTATTAGGATGGACCTAGGTTTACACACCAAAGGTCATACAGAGCTCCTATGCAACCAGATGACTTTCCCTGGGACTTTGCCTCTTCTGCTGGTTTCCGCTACAGCACTCTTCTCATACAGGGCTAGATCGCTCTCAAAGTAAAATAAAGCAAACCTTCATAGTGTAACTCCATCTATTTCTTAATGAAATAAAAGAAGAATGCAATCACATAATAAAGGCAGATCCACAGTGCATAGAAAATAGAATGTCCACAGCTAGCAAGAGTTCTGGCGGCCACTCCGCCCAGCACGATCATGTCACAGCTCCTCCCACCTGATGCGTATTGTCCACAGGACTTTTTCCTTTGTGAGTTTAGTGTATCTAAGTCACACGTTATGTTGTCCTTTACTGCGCTGCGCATTGCATAATTGCACAACAGTCAAACCATTGCTCCTTTATCCTTTTTGTTACTGTGACAATTACAGCAGGTATTAAGAAAACCTGAGTTGCTTAACCCAAGAAAACTTAAATAGATTATCAGAGTTTTTCCAGGAATACCATATCTCTAACCACCAACATTTTAGAATTCTCAGTAGCTGTCACTCCCTGATAACCACCTGAACCTGATAAGAGTTGGTCTCAACTGGAAGCAAACAGGGTGTTTTCCTTCCCCTTAAAAAAGCAGCAAAATCCTCCTTACTCACGCATGTTAAAAAGCCACACGCAAACAATTTGAAAATGCAAGACGCGTTTTCAAAGTGGTTTGCAAGTGTTAAGTTCATGCTGCCAGTGAAGAGACGCCCTTAGATGGATGCGCCCGGTCCGCACCCACTGTACTATAGACAGTATACTATACACAGTTCTGAACTGATCATGCCATCACAAGGACGTGGTTATACCACTCCCAGTGTCAGGGTACCAAGAAATCAGATAGAAACTTAAAAAATAAAAGGAGTTTGAAAACAACAATAAACATAAATGGCAAAAAACAAGGGAGAAAGTCCAGGACGTCATCAGTGCCAAGCCAGAGGTCAGATGCCAATGTGGGTAGTCAGCCAAACCAGGTCAGGGAACAGCAGGATGAATGGAAAGAATAGCCGAAGTCAGGAACCAGAAGATCAGTCAGCCGGAGCCAAGGTCATACACAGACAGGAAAAGCAGAGCAGTTGGTAGATCAGAACACACGCAAGGGCAGAGACTGAATGGACAAGCTGATGGTTAAATAGTGAACTGCTGTTGCATTATCACTCTGAGACAAGAACTTGCCAAGAGTTTTGATAGAGGTTGCAGAATGATGATGTTTACAGCTTTGGCCATAAGAGGGCACCAAAGAGGAATGAACAGTGTCAGACACACTGCACACAAGACAGGCTTCAGGTAACTGGGCAAGGAAGGGTAAGAAACCCTTACACCCAGCCTCACACTGCACAGAGATTTCCCAGCTCACAAGACATCAATCTCACGCCAGCAGACTGGGAGTGATTATAACTAGGCTTGGTTAACTCATTAGTTAACCCTTTACACACAAAATAATAGCTGCCACCATGTGTTGTAATCGAAACATGTACTGTGTAATCGAAAAAATGTAACCCTTTCGCTGCCACCGATGTATGGCATATGGCGAAACACAACCACTTGCAGCTGGCCACGTCACGTGGCTTTTACCCTTCTGCTATAAGCTCATGGTCACTTTAGCGACCATAAACTTATACCAGAAGGGCTCTTCTGACTCTCCCCTGTAAAATAATAGCTGGCATGACAGCTATTAACAAAAATTCCAAGTGCCCCCCCCCCCCCCAGCAAAGGCGCCGGCATCTGTCATCTTCTCCTCCCCGTCATCTTTTCTTCGGATCCCCGCTGCTTTCCCCCACAGGGAGGAGAAGGAGGAGAAGATGACAGATGCCGGCGGCGGCAGTGCTGGCGGAGGGTGCTCAGGATTTTATGGGCTGAGGCAGCGGGAATCCGAGCAGAAATGGACAGCTGCAGCCGGTGGGGGTGGTGAGGGGGGAGCCGTTTGTCATGTCAGATGGCTTGGCTGTGTGCAGAGAGGAGTCAACGGCTGTTGGATCCTGGCTGGCAGCTCTGTGATCTGCATGTGCTTCAAGATGGAGAGCGGGAGAATCAGTAAATATCTGTGATATTTACCAATCCTCTGTGTGCAGAACAAACACTGGAGTGATCAGCTGACTACTCCAATGTTTGTAAACAACAGAGGACACATAGTATTATGTGTCCCCAGTTATGAATGAACAGGAAGTGCTTTACATCAGTTTCTGTTCATTCATGAGTTTCTCAATAGGGAGAAGCACTCACTACAGAGGCTTCCACCCATTCGCAAACTGGTTGATAGTATATATTTTATTATCACCAGTTTCTGAATTAATGGGAAGCCTCTGTACTAAGTGCGCTGCATTGTACTAATATGCGCTGCATTGCATTGTTAGAACACATCGCAGTGCTTGATTTTTTTTATTTTTAAAATAACATTCATTTAACTGTGGCAGTGTATGGCAAAGCGTTGTGACACACAATTTAAATTTACAAATATTTGTTATTTATTAACTCAACACAGTTTTATCTTTTAGATTTAGTCGGAAACGTTTTTTTGTGCACTGATACTGATTTTAGTGTGGTTTTATTCATTTAATTGTGCAGTTTTATTGGGTTAATAATGATTTGATAAACCTTTGTGCAATTATTGCAGAACCTACAAAATTAAAGCACCATCTTTTTATTTTACCGGGCCTATGCTTTCAGAAAATATATGATTTGGGGGGTATTTTACAAACGCTAGCAACCCAGCAGTTGAAGAAAAGCTTAATGATTTTTAAGATCCCTTTTAATAAAAGAAACGGTGCAGGAAAAAATATGCAGAAAAAGATGTCACAAAACAATATAAGACAAAAATATAACGGCAACAAAAATAAAAAGGGAATACAATTGAAAGTACTTAACAGCCCTGGGTTTTGTAAGTTCTGACAGAGTGCAATTCAATAGAAGATGGGTCTGGGTGGCTTTCTCAAAGTAAAGCAAACAGTTGGTTCTGGATGGTAATGCGCTTCTTCTTTTGATGACACCAGAAGTATTCTGTGGATGTTACGAGGAGCCTTCTTTGGATGATACAACAAGCTTCTCAGCTGCCCTTACAGCAGCTTTTTGTCAGTCCTCTAGGGGGTGTCCCTGAACGGAACCATAAGGCTGGGCTGAGGAGGGTGAGCAGGAGGGCTAAATCTTTACAATGTCCTTCATGTTCATAGTTTAGTCCTAAATAAACTATAGATAATTATATTTCATGAAATTAGCTTCAGATGAATCCCAAACTTGGCATGTGTGTGAATTAAGGCAGGCTCAGGATGGTCAATGGGACTTGTCAAGCCTCTGACCATCGTAACCCACCCATGATTGATATGTGTAGATTACACTTGACGAGACACAGTTATTTATGTGATTAATTTTACAATATTATTGTCTGATTCCAATTTATGAAAATTGGCTTAATATTGGAACTCTCAGTCTATGGGGGTGATTTACTAACCTAAACACACACACACACCAGGTGTGTGTGATTTTCACACAGCAAAACGTATTTATCAACCAAAAAGTCTCTAAAAGCATATTTCCACTAATGCCATATATGGAAAAATCATGCACATGATGCATATATAATGCTGCTTCACAATTTAGACAAAAATGGTTAGCTCATGCATTTTCATTCCTTGCATTCATCAACACAAGCAACACAACATAGAGCTAATGTACACAGCATCACCTTGGAATTCCTTCAGGGCTTTGCACAACACACCTGCTGGGTGTGTACACATTACAAAGGTGTTTAGATTCCACCCATAGATCATGCTGGGAGGGAACACACTGCAGAGGTGTATACACTTTCGTGGTGTGTTTATAAGGTTAGTAAATCAACCCCTATGACTCAGTGGGAAACATTCCTTCCTTATCCACCAGGCAATTTGTAGCAAATTAGCTGAACTGTGTGGGACAATTACCGCAGTATTAGCTCTTTACGACACCTGTCATAAAGAGACCATTAAGGCTAATTCACACAAGGCCTAGGAAAAGCTTTAGATAAACAATCAGGTTTTAGTGCAAAGGGCTTTAAATGATCAAAGGGACCAGCTTAGCATATCTGGAGCTAGAGTTGAGAATGTCTAAACAATTTAGGAAGGACGCATTCCTTCCACAGTGAGGAAGATAGACTTCATAATTATTAATGAGATGCTCAAATCTCATTACTGTCACAAGCCCTAACAGTTACTATCTAAAAACTATCTTAAAGAAGACGAAGTTACATTTTATCACCCCAAATAATAATCTTTATTACTTATCTTTTTTTTAAACTAGGTTACTGAAGAGATGACTTTGGAGTTTTTGGCGAAATGTACAGATCCCAAAAATCTGCAAAAGAAAAAAATAGAGCTGAAATTTCCACGTTTTAAGATAGAAGAAAGCTATGATTTAACTTCACATTTACAAAACATGGGAATGATAGATGCCTTCAGCCAACAAAAAGCAGATTTATCCGGTATATCTGCTGTTGGCCTCTTTGTGTCAAAAGTGATCCATAAAGCTTTCATTGAGGTTAATGAAAAAGGAACTGAAGCATCGGCTGCAACTGGAGCTGTTATTGTACCAAAATCACTTAAGCCCCCTATCAATTTTAAAGTAGACCATCCATTTTTAGGTGTCCTCAAACACAATGCAACCAATACCATTCTTTTTTGTTTAAAAATGTATTCACCAAGCCCATAATCTACCGTCCAGATTATGCACACACATTGACACATTTGCTTTATATGCATGCTCTCTTTCATTACTGCAGCTTCCTCCTTTGAGCTATATAGAGGCGAGTATTCTGATTACCTAGTGAAGCTCTGCTGACTTCCATCATCCAATCACATGGAAGCCAAAATGCTGTTTTGTTTTTTTTTTTCTTCAATTTTCCTTGAATGTCAATGGCTATTCTTTGAATTTTTACTACATTCAGTAAAACGCCATTTCAGGATATACAGCCTATTTGCCTCTAGTAAATCAATCCCATAGTCTTTAAACTGACATTTTATTCATTGCCCTTGATGTTTGAAGATATACATGTATAAGAAATAAAGTTTAGTGCCATATCTTGCTGTGTTTAAACTTCAAGTACAACCTAAAGTTGGCTAAACACCAGTAGAATTTTGTTCAAACAAATTAGTTTTTTGAACATTTGTTCCATTTTCAGCAGTTAATTGGGTCAAATTGAAAAATGTGAAATCTGCGCTTATGGAAGGGTTAAGTGTTAAAGCAGCTGCGCTATAGTTTTTAACGACAATGAAATAATGAGTGTGCAGCGCTGTAGGTGTTTTATGTGTTACACATCTATTAACGTGCTAAAATCCCTACACTGTAGGGATTTTAGCACGTTAATAGATGTGTAACACATAAAACACCTATAGCGCTGCACACTCATTATTTAATTGGGTCAAATTGACAATGGTTTTTCACTGCAGTGATGAAAAAAAAATGAAGGGGCAGGATGTACATTTTTTTCTCAAATAGATGAAGTTCTAAGAGCAAATATGGTTTTCATATAAGAAACTCCATTCATTTCCAAAATTGAATGTTACAATCAAACAAAATTTCAAACAATCTACAAGTCTTTGAATGCATTATCGAATGTTCTTACGGGATTTTTCATATGAACTTTCGTGCAAAAATCTACTAGTGTAAGACCAGCTTAAGCAACTGAAGTTTAAGGTTACAATAGGTTTGGAAAGTAAACTTTTTTGTTTTAATCAGAACATTTGGATCAGCAACATGAACTGCTCCATAGAGGATAACGTAACACAATTCTCAACATCCAAACATTTAAAAACAATAATATTATTTAGAAATGTGGAATAAAATACCTTTACTTCACAGGTATTTTGAGCAGAAAGAAGGAGTTGCTATTGCTTTGTAATTTGTAAGATAAAATATGTCCCAAAATTCAAGAAGGGACTTACTATAAGCACTTTAAACATAGAAAATACCTCTCCAGGTCGGTCTACTCTTTCCCACAAAAACTGCCAAGTGCCTGTCCAGCTGGTTGCTTAAGATATGTGCAATAAAACAATGACAGTAATTCAGCATTAAATCGAAATTCAGGTTTTAAATTCAAATCCAATTTCAGTCTATTAAATGGGGTACAGAAAATAGCAGCATGTTTTATGCTCACAGGAGCTTATTCATAAGGTGATTTAAAAAAAACAAAATCCCTTTTATTAGATACAACTCCCTTACTTCCAGGAACAAGTGAAACAGCCTCAGCTGATCAGGAAATACTGATCTTGTTGCTTTCAACCTTCTAAAAACATTATAACAACATTATAACAACATTAAACAACAATGTTAAAGATATAGGATATTTTCCAATTTAACCTTGCAGTGGGGCTACCCCCACACTGCAAGTGTTAAGTGCTCTTTGTGGTCTAGGGGCGAAAATAAAGAAAATACACTCATCTGATGCTCAGTCCCACCTGGCTATTAGACCGGTCCCTCGTGTACAGAGTTAAAGTGACATTAAAGTCACAAATATTTTCTCCCTCCCATGCTGCTTTAAGGACGTACCTTAAATGATGCCTCTTGATCTGATCTTCTTCCTTTCACTGGTATTGAGAAGTGCCTGCAGCGCTGGTGCCAGTCTCTGATATGACTCCTGTCTCTTCCTGTCCCATGGTGTCTGTCAGATATGCACGCTCCTGGCTGCGTGCATTCACCTCCGCTGTGTCTCTCCTCACCAAAGACCTCTACTGCGCATGTGCCCTCCCCATCATCCTGCTCGGTCGCTCGAGAAGCTCCAGATCTTCAGATGGGAGCGAGTGGCAAAGTAACAAAGGTAAGTAAAAACCTTTTTGGTAACCTTTTTATTTTTTGAATTTTTATTTTACATATGTCTACTGCTTGCTAGCAGTAGATATATGCAAAAAAAGAGTGTTCAATTATACTTTAAATTCTCACACTGGATTAATGCACAGATCTGGAAGAAATACACAAAGCCCACCAAGATTTAAGTAAGAATACACACGCCTCTTGTATTTAGGCAATATATGCTTATCCGGGACTTTAGCATTAACTTCTGTATATAATTATCCTTATACAAGCACATATAGATCATGTCAAATAAAGACTGACAGGACTAAAACTAACTGTGTGACACTCATAATTATATCATTAACACAAAACATGCATAGGCAAAGAACAAGTGTAGGAAGAGAATGTTACTGAAGCTAAATCTATGCAAATGAGAGGTAAACTCTTTATTGTTAAAAAATATGCAATGTCCCATTCATGGTGTGAACCACATTGGATCCTTGTCTGCAATATGCATATCCAATGTACCTTCTTTCATTTTTCACTTGTACTATAATATGTATAGTAGATACTTCTCCATTATCACATTTATTAAAATGCTTTGCAACATTTGTGGGGTTATTTAATTGATAGCACATAGGTGGTAACCCTTTTCTTTAAGCTGGCCATACACTGCTTGAATCTGAGCAGGACTTGGCAAAAATTCAAGCAATATATGGCCCCATTGGCACCTCTCTGTTCAGCCAAAGTCGATTTTTCTTCTCTTGTAAATTATTTATTTAAAGTGGACACGGGTATAAAGCACCGACAAAAATAATAACATCAAAATATAGATTTAGCTCCTAATAGTCTAGGCGCAAGCATTTCAGGGCCCTCTAACAACAGAGAAATACAACACAATTACCAAACATATGTGTATGTCAGCCTTCTTCAGATTATTGAAACCTATACGTTGTTGGAAAAATGAGTACACCACAGTCCAAAGTTTGTTACCAACAATTCTTCAAAAGCAGTCATTAGGAAAAAGTTGTAAAGGAGAAGAAAGGAAATGAGAGAAATAAATGAGAGAAAAAAAGGAGGGGAGGGGGAAGGCAGGGAGTAGGAGAGGAGGTACAAAGGTGAAAGTAGGGCGTTTACCTAATGGTCCAGGGGAAGCATTGCGCCCTGGAACCCAGTCCTTAGGATGTAATTTTTTGCATGTCTAATGTAATAGACCTATACTCTTGGAAGCAAGATACATGTATCCATTAGAACCACGTGTGCAGTAATTGCTTATTCCTGTGATGTAGAGATGCAGTGAGATTTTCCATGTTCCTGATCTCAGCAATTTTAGCAAACCAAAACTGTATTGTAAGGGGAGTATCTGGCCTCCAAAGAGATGCAATACAGACCCTGGCTGCATTCACTTGGTGGATCAACAAGGAGCACGTGTATCGGTGTCTGGAAAAGGAGATACGTGGCTTAAATCACTTTTTGTCAAAAGAGCCAATCTGCAGAACAGTTAGTGCAAATAAATCAGCTGCTGTAGTCTCTGTTATTTATTTACTACAGGTATTTATATAGCACCAACAATTCACACAGAACTTTACATAGTGCACATTCACTACAGGAGGGGCAGAACCGAAGGGGCTGCTGTACAGGTTATTAATTATCGCCCGTACAGCCGCCGAAGGTGGCGGAGCGGCTCAGCCTATCCGAAGGCATATGCTTCGGCTCGACTGAACCTGAAGTGACACCCGAAGCGGGGCGAACGGCCTGCCGAAGGGCCAGCCGTAAGCCCCGCATATGACAGCTGGACGGAGCCAGCTGTGATCTCACAGCTGGCTCCGCCCAGTTGTAACTACCGATCAGCGTCCCCAAATGACCTGGAGAAGCTGATCTGTCATTAAACAGAGGATAACATTCAAAATATTAACAGTACCCTATAAAGCCATCCACAACTCCGCCCCCGGATATATCTCAGACCTTGTCTCAAAGTATCACCCTAACCGTCCCCTCCGCTCATCCATTGACCTCCTGCTTTCCAGCTCCCTTGTCCACTCCTCCCATACTCGCCTCCAGGACTTCTCTAGAGTCTCTCCCATCCTCTGGAACTCTTTACCCCAACCTGTCCGTCTATCTCCCACCTTGACTGCCTTTAGGCGTTCCCTAAAGCCTATCCCACCTCGACCTAACCACTGGACCTTCACATTCTCAAATAATTAATTCCCACAGCTACCTCCTCATGTATAATTGTAAAGCGCTGCGCAAACTGTTGGCGCTATGTAAATACTATGTAATAATAATAATTAAACAATAACAAATGGGCCGGCTCCGCCCAGTTGTTATTCATTGGCCGGGACCTGCTGGAAGACTCTAGCAGGTCCCGGCCAATAGGAAGCAGTTGGGTGGAGCTAGCGGTCACTGCTAGCTCCACCCAATTTTTAAAAAAAATCTTTATTTATTTATTTTATTTCATATTTGTTAACATTTTGTAAAATATTTATTAAACTTTTTTTTTTCCTATTTTTTTCACTATTTGCTATTCTGCTTGGTACCACATAGGTACCGAGCTCGGCGGCATTCGGCTATTCACTCACTGCTGTTCGGCCCCTATGTGAATAGGGGTGATCGGCAGCGAGTGAGCTGCCGGAGCTTCGGCTCAGCTGATCCAGATGTTGGATCGACTGAGTCGAAGTGCTTCTTCACTTTGGCTCAGCCGAACATGCAGTGCATGTTTGGCTGACCAAAGTGAAGCCGATGTAAGGCTAAAATTAGCCGTACTGAGCCGTAGTGAATAGCCGAACGTTGTTTGGCTCACTTCACTTCGGTTGGGTTATTCACTCGGCTGCCTTTGGCAGCTTTGTGAATAACCCCCCAAGTGTTTTGTAATCCTACCTACATATTGAAACAGGCATTCACTACATGTAATTACATATACC